CTCTGGGCCCCTATAGAGCCACACCGGGTCCCTCTGGGTCCCCATAGAGCCACACTGGGCCCCCATAGAGCCACACCGGGTCCCTCTGGGTCCCCATAGAGCCACACTGGGCCCCCATAGAGTCAGCTTAGAGAGGATGAAGGTGAGATAATGAGGGACGACTGGAGCCTCCAGCAGTGGAACCAGCTGAGGACATTAAAACAGGTTCACTGTTTCTTTACTGATGGATTTGTTCCACACTGACACCTGCTGGACATTTAAAGTCACTACAGGCAGCCTCTCCGATTGGACGACCCAGAATATGATCTAAGCCATTGTTTACTATAATTTTCATTGGAAAATATGTTATGATGATATTTTTAGATTAAATCCATAAATGTGAACATGTGAATAAGGATGTTTGTGGACTAGGATTTATTTATTAACTAGAGTAAAAGCAGCAAACTAAGAGTCAGTTTAAATTCGGATCATTTGATTGATGTAACTATTTCTGATACAATAAATGGGTTTAATGATGATTGATCAATTATTGAAATAACCCCCCAAACAGCAGGCCTAATTCAGACGTTGTTTTTTTGGCTAAATCTGGGATTTATCCCACTTTAGTCCAATATGAGACGATCTAAAAAATGACGACTTTTCCTCTTTTGTGAATATTGTCTTTTCAGCCTTTTTTTGTTCGGTGGGAATCATTTATTATTCCAGTAAGCAATTAATCGTTAACTGGAGTATATAGGAGTAAATCCTCCTATAGCTGACGGAGCGACTCAGAGCAGCAATTATATCCAGATGGTAAAAAAAAACATTTAGCATTTAAGATGAAAAATGTGTTTCATGTCGATCTGCTCTATAATCAAGAACAAAGTTTTAATTTCACCTGATTTAATTCTGAAAGATTTTCCTTCTTTTATAAAGGGGGGGGGAGTCCGTTCAGGTTAGTGATGAAGGGTTAGGGTTGAAGGTCAGGGTTAGATAAAGTTGTGCTCGTCATGGATGCGTCTCCATTAATGCATCCTGTGACCTTTGCTGCAGGTTATGAGATCCATGGAATGGAGAAGATCCCCAACAAAGGAGCCGCTCTGATCGTGTATTACCACGGAGCCATTCCCATCGACTACTACTACTTCCTGGCCAACGTCATCCTACAGAAAGGACGCACCTGCCATTCTGTAGCCGACCACTTCCTCTTCAAGATACCAGGTCCTGCAATTAGGCGTCCCGCAGCTGTGGGCGTCCCGCAGCTGTGGGCGTCCCGCAGCTGTGGGCGTCCCGCAGCTGTGGGCGTCCAGCAGCTGTGGGCGTCCCGCAGCTGTGGGCGTCCCGCAGCTGTGGGCGTCCAGCAGCTGTAGGCGTCCAGCAGCTTTAGGCGTCCCACAGCTGTGGGCATCCAGCAGCTTTAGGTGTCCCACAGCTGTGGGCGTCCAGCAGCTTTAGGCGTCCCACAGCTGTGGGCGTCCCGCAGCTGTGGGCGTCCAGCAGCTAAAGTATGAAGGACAGATAAAATACACCATAAATGATCTGATGCTCTGATCAGGATCCAGACTGGATCAGACGCTGCAGTGATGATGCTTTCCTCATAGATCAGGGCGTTCTAGATCAGATGTACATGACAGGCAGATTACTTTGGCAGACAGACTAAATCAGATGCTGGTGATGGGAGGAAGCAGCGTTCTGATAATTCCTCCTTCCTGACGGCATTTTGTTTCCATTTTGCTTTCTTCTCCCAGGTTTCAAGTTGCTTTTGGAGGTTTTCTCAGTGATCCACGGTCCTCAGGAAGAGTGCGTCCGCGCCCTGAGGAACGGCCACCTGCTGGGCATTTCTCCCGGAGGGGTGCGAGAGGCTCTGTTTAGCGACGAGACCTATCCCCTGATCTGGGGCAAACGGAACGGCTTCGCCCAGGTAGCCATCGACTCTAAAGTGGTGAGTGACGGTTACCTGAATAACTGGTCGCTATGGTGACGGAAGATGATGCAGATTATTACCTCAACAACATCGACAGTAAACATCAGAACGCTCCTATTTATAGTCCTGCTAAAATCAAAACACTGACCGACCGACACTACTGACCACCAACGCTCTGCCGACCGCCGACGCTCTGCCGACCGCCGACGCTCTGCCGACCGACCGACGCTCTGCCGACCGACCGACGCTCTGCCGACCGACCGACGCTCTGCCGACCGCCGACGCTCTGTCGACCGCCGACGCTCTGCCGACCGCCGACGCTCTGCCGACCGCCGACGCTCTGCCGACCGCCCGACGCTCTGCCGACCGACCGACGCTCTACTGACCCACCGACGCTCTACTGACCGACCGACGCTCTGCCGACCACCGACGCTGTGCTGACCGACCGACGCTCTGCTGACCCACCGACGCTCTGCTGACCAACCGACGCTATGCTGACCGACCGACGCTCTGCTGACCCACCGACGCTCTACTGACCCACCGACGCTCTGCTGACCGACCGACGCTCTACTGACTGTCCTCCAGCTCCACCCTGCTAAGAATATAAAAACCATTCTAAGCTTCTTCTCCTTCTGCATTTCTATTTTTCACATTTGTGTATAATTATTGATAAAAGTGAGACACAATCTGTTGATTCAGTAATTTTGGTCACTTTAATCGTCGATGCATGAATGAAGGGTTGATGATGATGTAACTGCTCTGGTCTTTTTCTTCCAGCCAATAATCCCAATGTTCACCCAGAATCTGCGGGAGGGCTTCAGGTCTCTGGGGACACTCAGTAAGTGAGGAAGGTTTGGTCTGAATGTTCTGTTCTATGCTAACACACCGTAGCTCTCAGGTATGACGATGATCCAGCCTTACGTTGATGAAAGGCTTCCTGTAGCTGTTGGGTTGCTGGTTTGAGCCCCAGCCTTTTCCTTTTCTTTCTGGCAAGACCAGTCATCCCAGCATCTACTGCTGGTCAGAGGGCCTGGTCTTTGCATACGGCAGCCTTGTAGCTCTGTAGCCCAGTTTAGGCAACTGGACGAGGCGTTTCTAGAGACGTTTCTCCTCTCATCCAAATGTTGGAGCTTTTCAAGCTAGCTCTGCGTCCCTCTGTCCATATGCTCCATGGCGGGTCAGCTAACCCCAGAATAGCTTTAGCCAGTAGCCTGTGTGTCCATAGCCGCTCTGCTCGGTGCGTCTGTTCCCTCCTGGTTAATAGTGGGACTCCAGCCGCTCCTGCTCTGATGTTACCTTTCTATGTCTGCATCTCTTTATCACCCTCTGCTGTTCCGTCAGGGCTGTTCCGCTGGCTGTACGAAAGGTTTCGTCTGCCTGCGGCTCCAGTTTATGGTGGATTTCCAGTGAAGTTCAGAACCTTCCTCGGTGATCCCATCCCATACGACCCAAACGTCGGTGCTGCTGAGCTAGCACAGAGAGTAAGGGCCTGCTGTTGACTTGGTTATGGATGAAGGTCATCATCATGCTCATCGTGCATTTGGCTGTGCAGGTGCAGCAGGCAGTCCAGTCTCTGATAGACGAGCACCAGCAGATCCCCGGGAGCATCTGGAGGGCCTTGATGGAGAGATTCCACACTAAACCCAAAGAGCAGCAGCATCAGGACTAAAGATGGCAGAAGCTGCTTGGAGCGTCAGAAACCAGCGGTGGCCTTACCTCAGACGTGTGAAGCACCTTGCACGCTGTCCTGTTGGGGCTCTATCGGTCATTTGTTGATTCCTTTGATTAAATCTAAAAGATGAAGTTATCAGTATAATTTAATGTGTAAATAAGTCTTTGAAATGTATTTATGAACAGTACATGCATGAGCCAGAAACATGAGGACACCTTCCTGTGGTGGAGCCATCCTCTGCTGCTCTGATCGGACTGTAGATCCACTCTGACTCTCGGTGCAGGAAAACTTTATTGCTATTTTTACTGAAGGTCTGGAGCATAAAGAAGCAAGTTTAGATGAAGGTACCATAAACTGATGTTTGTCGTGTTCCAGCTCACTGAACTAACCGTCTGTGGCGTCATTGCTGCTCCTGCAGCCATTCTTCTCATCACTGAGCGTTTATAAAAATACCGGCACAGGATCTGCTTTTCTGTTTTCCTCCTTGCTCTGATGCACAAACCTAATTTATTCCTTTAGCTGCTGTCTTATTATAAATTATATTATGTGGTTCAAAGTGCTGTCGGAAACCAAACTACACACATTCCTTTGAAAACTGCCTTTGAATATTGTAAACTGCTGTTTTCATATTCTGTTATAAACCTTTTTTTTGTTTCGTTTTTTACCCATTGGGGGTTTAAGGGAAGATTAAAAAATGTAAATGACACTTAGAAATCTTGAGACATATTTATATATTTCACAAATAAATGTAGAAATGACAAACAAACGATGCTGTCCCAGAGGTGATTGATTGGTGGAACCACCAACCTTTGAAGAACAGGCTAATCCCAGTTTAACCATTTCCACCCTGATACATGCCGTCAGCAGTGAAACGTTGGCTCATGGAGCTGTAACAGGAAAACATGCATTGTTTTAAGAAAGTCACATGACCGATAAAGGAGCTGTTTCTAACTGACTGATGCACTAAACTGGGTCCATAATTTTCTCTGGTCCCCTCCCTGATCTGACCAGTGATGACATGTTTAGCCTCATGTCATCATTCAACCGCTGG